GTGCCTCGGCAGCCAGAAGGCCGGAGTGGGTGGCACAGAGTCCCAGCCCTGGTGCCTGACCCAGCCTCCCCTCCCCCCGCAGATCAGGAGATGGCGAGTGACTGCACCCCGAAACAGGACCGGCGGTGCCAGTGCAAGACCGGGGAGTTCTACTGCGACTCTGAGATCTGCCCAGAGAGCTGCTACCGCTGCACCAGGTATGGCCTCGGGGCGCAGGCAGGCACGCACCCTGGGCCCCCACACGTCACCCCCCGCCTTCAGTCCGCAAGCTGATGCTCTATCCACCGAACCACACACCAGCCAGGGCAAGAATATCTATATTTTTCTTAATTAAAAAAAAGCGTTTTCCAAAGATCTAAACTTAAAGATAATTCAAAAAAGAAAAATCAAGGGAAAAATATCCTGGAGTGAAAGGGTTAACTTGGGGGAATCTCTGAGGACAGAGCTGGCTTTGTCCTCCCAGCCCACATCGCAAGGGCACCTGCTGCCCTTCCACAGACACCCCAGGTTTCAGGGTCCCCCTCTGGCCCCTCCACAGACACCCCAGGTTTCAGGGACCCCTCTGGCCCGCCCACAAGCACCCCAATGCTGGTAATAGAGTCTAGTCGTCACCTCATTGTCTGTAAGTGTGAGCAGCCTCCCCTCCCCCCGCAGATCAGGAGATGGCGAGTGACTGCACCCCGAAACAGGACCGGCGGTGCCAGTGCAAGACCGGGGAGTTCTACTGCGACTCTGAGATCTGCCCAGAGAGCTGCTACCGCTGCACCAGGTATGGCCTCGGGGCGCAGGCAGGCACGCACCCTGGGCCCCCACATGTCACCCCCCCTGGCGTGTCTGCCTCGGGTTCTGCCGCGGCCCCTGGGTTCTCCATCTGTGACCTGGTAGCACCTGCCACGTGGAGGCGCCTGCAGATGAAATCCAACCAGTGGCCTGGCTGTTCCCACCGGGGCCGCCCTGGGGCCAGGGTTCCATCCACCCAGAGCCACACCCGCTCATCCCACCAAAGCCCCGTGGAGTCGGCACAGAAGCCGAAGCACAGAACCGGCCCGGGTCCCCGAGGGCTGGAGGGCGGGGCTTGGGAGACGCAGAGGCCCGAGGAGGGAGGGAGGTGGGAGCCATAGACGGTTCCAGAGGAGGCGGCTCTGGGCAGAGGAAGAGCCGTGAGCCCCGCGCCCTGCCCAGCTGCAAGGCCGTCCCCGCAGCAGGGCCCTGGTTCTGTCCCAGGCGCCGGTTCTGGCGGCTTCACAAACCTGGGGAATAATTCTCTCCAGGCCCGCAGCCCGGGAGCCCGAAACCCGGGTGTGGGCAGGCCGGCCCG